TTCGTTGCTGTAGTGATAGACAGTTTTGTAAAAATCACCATAAATTGTAGGAAAATCGTATGAAGATGTGCAAGTAGTCATTTTAAAGGTACAAACATGAACTACTTGCATATTATACAGTTTTGAAAAATATTAAGTTTAAGTTGGGTAAAACAGTCCGTGAACAGGTCACAACTTTTCTGTTGTAAGCTGTCAAGTTAAGTTTTGAATATGTTTTGGTGTTTTAACTTGTATTCCCCCCCCCCCCCTGAAAACTGAAGAAAACTAGAAAATATAGGGTTATGAACTCACCTTTAGTGATTCTTGGAAGAGTGGAAGGTCGAAGACGAGGAGTATCAAGTCAAGAACACTTGATGAACACGTGAGAGTTTGGATGATCCTAAGAACGATTTTTGGTGTTAAGATATGAGTCAATGATCCAAGAGTGTTATGAAATTATAGAATGACACTTGAGTTTAAATGGAATACTTACCAAAAAGTGCAGTAGCAACTCAAGAACACTTGCACAAGGGGGGTGGAAAGTAGAGAGAAAGAAGCTTTCTTGAGGTGATATGAGAAGTGTGTGTATGTTTGAAATGAGCAAGTAACTCAAGAAATCCTCCAGGGATTTCCTTATATGGAAGGTTGCTGGAGCAACTTGTGAGTTTGAAGTGATGTGTGCATTGGTTTGTGTGATGTGGATAAGGTGGCAAGTGGGAGGGTGACACATGGAAGGCAAGTGGGGCACACTTGACCCACTTGTAGGGTAAATATCCTCTTAATATAAAATAATAATTTTTAATAAATAAATCCTTGAGAAATAAATAAAATATGAGTTTTGGGGGTTAAAAATGGTAAAAATATGAATTTGGTGAAAAAATCCCGTCAAAAACGGGTTTAGGAGGCGAAAGTAGTCAAAAATCAGCTTTAGGAACCGAACCTGCGAGGTTCGGCTCTAAGGAGTTAGGAACCGAGAGGGAACCGAGAGTAGGAGGGAAGATCCGAAGGTCTGAAGGGGGAGGCCGAAGGTTCGAGGTCTCGCATGGGGGCCGAGGTTCGGTCCTCGCTGCTGGCTTCGGTCCGAGATGGCCTCTGACAAGTTCGGTTCTGACACTTTCGGCTTCTAAGAGGAGTTTCGGTTCCTAAGAGGAGTTTCGGCTCTATATGGCTGTTTTTCGAGAAATCTTTCCGTTTTGCGTGATTTTTGACCAAGTTAAGGGTCGGGATGACCCGGTTGACCATAAAAAGTTTGAGAGAGATTTTGGGAGAGATTTGGGAGAGATTTCACATACTGGGAGAGATTTCACATACTTGGAGAGATTTGGGAGAGATTTCACATACTTGGAGAGATTTGGGAGAGATCTCACATACTTGGAGAGATTTCACATACTTGGAGAGTTTTTGGAGAGATTTCACATACTTGGAGAGATTTGGGAGAGATCTCACATACTTGGCGAGATTTCACATACTTGGAGAGTTTTGGGAGAGATTTCACATACTTGGAGAGATTTGGGAGAGATCTCACATACTGGGAGAGATTTCACATACTTGGAGAGATTTGGGAGAGATTTCACATACTTGGAGAGATTTGGGAGAGATCTCACATACTTGGAGAGTTTTGGGAGAGATTTTACATACTTGGAGAGATTTGGGAGAGATTTAACCTTAGCCCTTATTATCGTATAATCTCGTAATGCAAGGTTCGTGAATCCCGTTATGCTTCGTTAATGACCGTTTTAAGTCCCCGAAAGGGTCCTTAGCCGTGTTTTGATGCGTTTAACTCCCTCTTTATGGTTTTTACATTGTTAACACTTAGATTCTTCAAGACACTTGAATTTTTGACATACAAATGCACATTTTTACAAGGAATAACTTCTAACATACAAGTACTAGTTAAGTTTGACCGGTTTGACTTGTTGACTTTGACTTTGACTTTGACTTGAATTTGACGGTTGTCACAAATTCCATACGTGTCCAAAGGTTGGGAAAACCTTAGCCGACTCGCCGAGTCACTCAACTGACTCGCCGAGCCCACGACAATCTTCATCGGACTCACCGAGTTGACCATGCAACTCGCCGAGTCCCTTCAGTCCTTCATCCATACAGACGCTTTTAAGCCATGCTAAGGTTCCAAATTGTATATCCAACTTCCCAAGGCATGTTTATTACGTAAAGTTGCAAACTTTACGTGCATGCAAAGCTCTAAAGTCTTAAAATGACAAAATCAAGCTTATAAAGAAGTCTCACACTTGAGGGAAAGCTCATACTTGTCAAAGCTGTTAACTTTATGGACCTAGAGACCAAGAAGAGCTCAGATCTGAAGTTGCAACTTCAGATCTTAGCTCAAACACAAGAAAGGCTTCCAAAGAAAAACATCCAAAAGAGATCTAGGAAGAAATGAGCCAAGATAACAGCTTAATACTTTCAAAAGGGTGCCAACTGAAGTAGATCTCTGATTCCCACGAGTTCCTTGCTTCTTATCACTTGTTTTCCCCAAGCTTTTCTCACCAAAAATCCTTCCTCATATTCAGTAAAAAGATTTCTACTATGTCCAAATATTTTGCAGAGGTACAATGAGTTTCTCTAACCAATCTTTTTCACTAAAATTTCTTCTGAATCACACACTTCACTGCATATCCTTGACATCTCTGGTCGAAACCTACCAAATTGTAGATATTGCAACACTCTGTGTTTATGATCCAGAATCATTTTTCTGTGATGATGGTGAAACACAACAATCCCAACTATTAAGGAATTGATGGTGAACATTTTTGTTCAAGATTATAACGACACACTTGTTTCAGTATCTTTTCGATATTCAAAATCATGTTCCATTCGAATTGCGTAATTTGATGGAATGTTCTAAAACCAAGACATTTTTGCCCCACAAGATCCAGTTCTTTAGTTTTTTTGGAATGGGATTTCAGTCTGAATATCTTTATGGTTCTTGTTATTTCAAAACATATCAAACTATATTTGTTCTTGACTACACTGGTCATCAAAGTAATTTTGTTAAACCAAATCACACTTATGTTAAGTTGTGGTATTGAGAAAAATTGAGCCTATATATCGGAACTGGTGAAAAAGAATCCCTTCGATGCTCATCAATGGGTATTTGATTGTAATTCACGGGAAACCACGCAAACAGTTCGTCATCCTTCTTGATGTCGAATGAAGAGATCTTTGTCCGGGGATCCAACTGCTTTCGTATCAAATACTATTTGGTATCACTAATCACATATTTTTTTAATTTGATTCTTACTTATTCTTTGGCACACAGTTGCACTGGAATCCTTGAGGTTTAGGGAAATACCAGCTCGAAACCATGATTTTGCAAAGTCTGGCATATGATTTCGCTTTCCAATCCCAAAAGCGAATGAGCCTTACCTCAATGCGAAGAAATGATGTTCTCGTGGTGTCGAAACAAAACGATGGTCTTGCTCACAGTTTGAAATATGTGGCGGTTCTTATCCGGTTGGGAACAACGAAAGATCCGGCGGACGTGACGGTTCAGGATCTTCACAGGATAGAAGGAAATTGTGACGATCACTTTTATGATGTGGCGGTTTTTATGGTGACCGGTTAAATAAATAATGCAATACGTGGAAATTTCCTATTGATACTGTTTCTAATTCAAATAATCTGTGAATTATAAAAGGAAACTGGTGGTGACATTCTTAGACTTTATGCTCTCAGAATATTTTCCTAAAAACCTCTCAACTGTTCATCGTCTTCCATAATTCTTGCAAGTTCTTCAACGGCGGATCCTAACACCAATGTTTATCCCACAAATACCACCAATGACTAAGAAATCTCACAACCCCCTGATGAAGATTCAGAACACGAATCTTCGTTTACTGCCCACTGTTGATCAATATCCAGAACAGTTACACATGTTGATTTTAGCCCTAAATCACACGGTTCTTTCCACGGTGTTATCGTCATCGTTTTTAGTTACGATTACTTGGTTGTCTCTTGTTGGTTCTACTTCCGTATTAAATAAAACAACCAAGGTTGTTATCTTCCAACTGACGAACAACAAGATGAAAAAAACTTACGAAGAAATAGTTTGCCCAAATCATGAAGTTGTCTGTTTCAGGTAATTTTTAGGAACTCAAAAATGAGCAGGTTCTTCACATGTTCAACGAGATGGGTAATCAACCAGTTCTAACTGGAATAAGTCTATTTCACAAATCGAGTCTACCCTGTGTTTGGAGTTTTCTTATTGGTATTGTATTGTGATGCTTGACTGGTTGCAGTTCTGGGTCAGACAAAGAAAAATTTGAGGTTTATGCTTTTCTTGTTGGCATTTACTACGATTTAAATGTTGATTATGCAACACAACTTTTGGAAGAATTTGGCAAGGCAATAACTCACACCAATTTGGAGAATGGTGTTTCTTGTGCACGATAATGGAGTCTAATTCTCAAGGAGGTTTATGAACAAGAAGGGATTTTGGTTCCTTCAGAAGATGAAAAAGTTGACTTTTCAACATTGGATGCTCCATGACTCGTTGTTGATGATCCAATTATTTTTCCAAATATTGCTTGAATTACAGATGCAATGCTGAGGCGTATTGATCTGAAAACCCACTCCTTGTTCAGTACTTGGAAACAATTGATGCTACTGATTTTGTTGGTGTTCTTCTACCAAAAGGGGCTGAGGGTTCTTCGAAAGTTGTTAAAGTAACGAAGAAGAAGAATAAGCAAATTGAGAAACCACAACCTGTTCAAGAAACAGTGGTGCAGGAAGTTTCTAAAGAAGTTATTCCTTCGAAGACTGGTATTCTCAAAAGAACTAAGAAGCCATCCAAAAGGCCTCATCATTCTCCAGTCAGGCCATCAGTTCAAGAACCAGAAATTGATACAACTGAGCAAACCCTAGTTGATTCTTTGCATACTTATTATTCTCATAATGGTGTTAAGAAGATAAGAAAACCTCAGTTTAACAGAAGAGGGGTGTTGTTTCGTGATATTCTTTTCCATGCTTCTCTAGTATCAAAGAAACGAAGGGCATTCGATATGGCCTTGAAATTACAGCAAAAGAAGACAAAGCATCAAGATCCACTTGATCAAGTCACTATCGCAACAGATAATGACAGTGAAAGTGGGGATAATCGTGATGAAGATTTTTGGGCATGGGTCACCTCGAATGGATTCTCCTCTCAAGTCGAATTTCGAGGAGACATTAGATCCTGGTGTCAATGTAAACGTATCTAATACGGATACAAACACCAATTCGAGTGATCACACATCGATATCCATCCCTGAGAACACTACGGTCATACCACCTAGGGTTTCGCATACCGAGTCCCATACAGAGGAGGTTCAAACTCCAGAAATCACTATGAATGTATCTGATATAGACCTAAATGTCAATATGGGTGAAGGGGTGTCGAACAAAGAAGCTTCTGTTACTTCAACTCTTGCAACATCAACCATTTTTGCTTCAATCATTTCTACCATCGAAACCTCAACCATTGAAACATCCACTTTGTTACCACCATTTTCATCACCTATCTCAACTTCACTTCCCGTTTCAACCATTTCACCAAATTACTCCACCATTATGCATGAACCCATTACTATTCTTTTCTCATCTCAATCTACTGATGCAGAGAGAGTCATTCTTGATGTTGAACTGAATGATGATGATGTGATGGTTTCTTTTGCTGATCTGTAGTTCGACCCAGAAGAGGATAACGTTCCTAACAACATGATCATGTCTGGTAAACAGTTCCAAATCCTTAATTCCAAAATCAATAATTTTCTACAAATTCAAGCAGATACTAAGGGAAGGAATTTTGTTTCTAGAGTCGAGATGGAGTACTTGTTAAAGTCGCAGGAGAATCATCTTCGCACCTTGATTGAAAGCCTTGAAGTGAAACAGGTCGAACAATTGGATGTTCATTCTAAAAGTTTTGAGTATTAACTTCAAAAGCTTCATGATGTGGTCAAGGAGCATCATGATCTCTTTATCGAACAAGTCACAAAGATGGATGAGTCTGTTGATCTTCAGGTGGCTGAACTTAAGTCGGAGATGGAGAAAATTTTTATTGTGTTTCATAGTAAGGTTGATGTTGTAGTCGATGCAATCGCAAAGTTGGTTGAATTCAATACTGCTTATTCGACCAAGGTTGAAGAGAAACCGGAGCAGGATTCTAAGGTGTCTACTAAGTTGGTGGAATTTTTATCAAGCATTAAGGAGACTATTTCGAAAGATGATCTTTCGACTCATTGAACCGTCTCTCGGGAGTCAGTTTACCACTTGATTTCGAAGATTGAGACGAATATCAAAAATGAGCTAGCACCCATCCTTGAGTTGGTCCTTCGGTTACCAACGAATGCTCCTCCTGTTGTGCAAGTGTCGCAATAGGGAGATAAAAAGGATGTGGTGGTGTTGGGTCTTCGAAAGATTCAGAAAAAGGAGAAGTGGTTAGAAAAGTGATGTCAACTCAGATACCACTTCTGTCACACCCCTAAACCAGAACGGCGGAAACATTTAGGGGCGGAGGATGTCATGCTCAGTATCATAACCATAGTGAAGAAAGTAAACACAACCATCATAAATATAATTTAAAAGGTTACATCGTTTCAAAAATACATGTTTCCAAATAAATTACATATGATGTCAAAATATAGCAAAAGAATCTACGCCTTAGCGTCTTGACTTCAGAAAATCTTGTGATTACCTGTATTACTGATTACCTGAGAATACAAGTTGTCTTGAAAGAGTATCTGCATAAAGCTGGTGAGTTTATAAGCAGTTTATGAATGAAGAATGAATGTTGTTCCTTAAAGTTTGTTTCCAAAAAATCCAATATTTTCTAAAAGGTTTTTTGTAGTCTTAACTGAACCAAGACTTAGTATATGTAAGTAAATCGTCATACTTATGTGTGGTTTTATATTTAAATAAAACTACTTTGTGAAAATCTTAGAATTCACGTGAACTGTATGTTTTGTTAATACCCCATGTGAGTTGTTATAACCATACTAAAGACTAGAAGGCCTCGTATGCGACGTTATTCAGGTGTCGGAATGTTATGACATTTGTCACCCCAGACCTGACGTTCTAGCTGTTGCAAGCAGCTTAGGTGCGGGTTTGTCAGACCCAATATGGATCTATACACAACTGTCACGCTCTTCCTCTAGGAGATTCTGATTATAACTACAGGACTTTTCTATGGTACTTAAGAGTACCCCGAAGGAGAATGTTTCACAAATTTATTCATTAACAAGTTATGTAGTATGTAATGAAATGCCCGTTTTGTAAATCGATTGTGTTACTGTTTTCCTTGTTAAATGAAGTGCTCAAACTATACCTATTATAGTTTATCAAAAGTGTTGTATGTTTGAATGAAACCTTGTTATGCATGTATTTGTATTTCAATAAAATGACATTGAAAATACTAATTGTAAATTGTACACACCTTGCTCAGCATGTTACAAGGTGTGAATAACTCTTAAACATGTTTTTGACAGTTTTACCCTTAACTGTCCCTGTATTAGATTATTTATAGAAAAATCATCGTAAGTCGAAAACTGCATCCGTAAACTCGTAGAGTTTGGAAAAATAGTTTACCGTGTTCATAAATTTTCCTATAATTTTTGGTGGTCTCAAACCAGTGTCAAAATGTTCATCTTCACAACCTGGTCCGATTTTGTTGCTGCAGTGATAGGCAGTTTTGTCAAAATCACCATAAATTGTAGAAAAATCGTATGGAGATGTGCAAGTAGTAATTTTAAAGGTATAAACCTGAACTACTTTCATATTAAACAGTTTTGAAAAATATTAAGTTTAAGTTGGGTAAAACAGTTCGTGAACAGGTCACAACATTTCTGTTGTAAGCTGTCAAGTTGAGTTTTAAATAAGTTTTGGTGTTTTAACTTGTATTCCCCCCCCCCTGAAAACTAAAGAAAACTGGAAAATGTAGGGGTATGAACTCACCTTGAGTGATTTCTTGAAGAGTGGGAGGTTGAAGACGAGGAGTATCAAGTCAAGAACACTTGATGAACACGTGAAAGCTTGGATGATCCTAAGACGATTTTTGGTGTTAAGATATGTGTCGATGATCCAAGAGTGTTATAAAAATGTGGAATAACACTTGAGTTTAGATGGAATACTTAACAATAAGTGCAGTAGTAGCTCAAGAACACTTTCACAAAGTGGTGGGAAATAGAGAGAAAAAGAGGCTCTCTTGATGGTTAGAAAGAGTGTAAGTGTTTGAAATGATCAAAGTAAGCCAAGAAATCCTCCAGGGATTTCTTTATATAGTGAAGGTTGCTGGAGCAATTTTCAAGTTGAAATGATGTTTACCTTGGTTTGCGTGATGTGGATAAGATTGGGCCAATAAGAAGATGACACATGGCTACAAGTGGGCACACTTGACCCACTTGTGGTGTAGAACACTCTCCTTAATGTAAAATAATGTTCTTTCATTTATAAACCCTTGAGAAATGAATAAAATATGAGTTTTGGGAGTTTAAAATGGTAAAAATATGCATTTGGTGAAAAATCCCCGTAAAAAACGGGCTGAAAAGGCGAAAGTTGTCAAAAACCGGGAAATAGGAGCGAACATGCGAGGATCGGTCCTTAGGAGGTGAGAACCGAGAGAAGGGAGAAGGATGACCAAAGATGGGAGAAGGAACCGAAGGGAGGGTTTCGGGTCCGAAGGTGCGAGAGGAGCGAAATGGACCGAAGGATCGGTTCATTTCGGGTGTAAGAGGCTTCGGTTCGGATGTTATGCAGTTTGGTTCTGATAGTTCGGTTCGGTCCTGAGTAGTTCGGTCCTAATAGGAGGGTTCGGCTCTAAGAGGTTCGATTCCTAAGAGGTTCAGTTCCTTAGAGGGTTTCGGTCCTATTTAGCTGCTTTTCGATATAACTCCCCGATTCAAGCGGTTTTCGGCCAAGTTAAGGGTCGGGATGACCCGGATGACTATAGAAAGTTGAGAGAGATTTTGGGAGAGATTTATTTTTAGCCATTATTATTGTATAATCTCGCAATGCAAGGTTCGTGAACCCCGTTATGCTTCGTTTATGATTGTTTTAAGTCCCCAAAAGGGTCCATAGTCGTGTTTTGATGCGTTTAACTCCCTTCTTAGGGTTTCCCATTGATAAACACATAGATTTTCCGAGACACTTGAATTTTTGACATACAACTGCACATTCTTATATATAGAATAACTTTTAACATACAAGTATTAGTTAAGTTTGACCGGTTTGACTTGTTGACTTTGACTTTGACTTTTGACTTTGACTTGAATTTGACGGTTGTCACAACTTCACTTCCTATTTCACTAACCACAACTTCAACACCAGCCACAACAAGACCAATCACGAAATGGATCGTTACAAATGAAGATTTGGAGGTTCAAGTTCGAGTTCTGTGCCACCAACTTCGAAAGATGATCAAGGTGATAAAGGAAAAGTTATTGTGGTGACTCTTTCTGAAGAGGAAAAGAAAAAGCAACAGGCCTTGGATATTGAAAAGAAAAGGCAGCTAAATAACATTATGAGGTGAAGGCAGAATGACCCACCTGGCTTGAATAAGGGTGATCCCAACAAGCAGTGGTGTTATGAAACCATTCAAGATATAGTTTCAATTGGGTTGAAAGACTACTTTTGCAAAGCGCCAAAAAAGAGTTATGACATTTAGAACTTGTATTTCGATCAGCTTGACTTTGTCACACCCCCAAACCAGACGGCGAAAACGTCCGGGGGTGGAGGACTTCATTTGTAGTATCACAACACATGTAATATAGCAATCATAGTACAAACAACCATTGTATTAAAAGTATAAATATTTACATGTGTTTCAAGTTGTATACTGAAACCAAAAGTTGTACAAAAGTTAAAGACAAAACATAAACTGCTCCATCTTCAAAAGCTCGGGTGTACCTGTCTACGGGTTCCCTGAGAATACAAGTAATTTGAAAAGAGAGTATCAACATAAAGTTGAGTGAGTGCATAAGTATTTATGTTTTGTATGAGCTGACCCAACGCTATGTATGCGCTGAAAGTTGATGATAACAATTGTCACTCACAGGCGTGTATGCCTGACTGTAGCTAGCAGTCCGAGTGCGGGGTTGTTAATCCCAATATAGATCTATATACACATTGTTTCGATCCCCTGCTGGAGACTCTGGTTATGATATCAGGACTTTACTGTATTGTTTAATATGAATTAAACAAACTGAACTATTTGACTCATAAAAGCATATAACGTTACATGTATAACTGTTATGAAAATCCAATCATTTTGAAATAAATGATTGATAGTATATCCTTGAATTAGTATTCTTGACATGTACTTGAATGAATGAACACACTTGATTAGTTTTGGATTAAACCTTTGTTTTTGTAAAACAATGTACTCTAGTATACTAGTATCATGAATTTATGTTCTGTGTAAATTATACCTATTATAATTTATATGTACTTTCTGAGGTGATAACGAGTATTCATGTATGGGATCCTTTGCTCAACATGTACAAAGGATAATTGAATCTAATTGAATAAACTTTTATACTTGTATACATATACAAATATATATATATATATATATTATATATATATATATATATATATATATAACTAAAATTTAAATGATACTTGGACAAACAACTGATACTTGTGATCCCACATCCAAACAAGGAAAAGGAACCAAAGCGGGTTGTCAGTCCTAAGTCTTTTAAACCTTATTTATATAAATATATGTATACTAGTATGATTTTTGGGGAAAATATAAGTTTATAAAACATTTAAAAGAAGTTTCATATTTGGAAATCCATTTTGAAAACTTGATGTCTTTTTGAAATAACCACTTAAAACCACTTGATTTGATAAGATGTTTGAAACCATTTGTTTTAGATAACTGAATTTTATTTGAAATCATTTGTTATAACACAATATCTTTGTGTTATACTTGTATTCCCCCCCCCCCTTCCCCCTTAGAACAATAAAAACTATGAAAATGTGGGGGTATGAACTCACATGTTGTAAGTTACTCAAATGTAAGATTGGTGTAGGATTGTATGTGTCAAGTGAAGACTTGAGCACACACGGATCCTATTGAACATATAATGACACATATATGTTTATAATTAGTGTTTAAACAACTAATCATGAAAGTTAACACTTTATTAGACTAGGAAACACTAGGATTTAAGTACTACAATCACATATGATTGCATACTAAGGGTGTATGGCCATTGTAATGAGTTTATGGCCAATATGGTAAG